GCCGAGAGTGGGGCTGAGCTGCCCGCCCGCCCACAATCTCCGAAGCCCGTGCTGCACCTGAGAACGAGGGGCATCGGGCGGCTGTCACTCTCCCTGCTGCGTGTGTCCCCACCCACCTCCCTGGGAGGGAAGCACTGGGCAGACACCGAGTCCCATGTCCCAGAGCTGCCCCCTCCCCTGGAGGCATTCATTCCAGGCAGCAAATGGGTCCTGCCCTGGGCCTGCCTCAGTCTCCCCATCTGTGTGGGGAGGGTGCTGGACTGGCTGTTGTGGGTGGATATTCCCCAGAATCAGCAAGGCCTGGGCAGATGGATGGACAACATGTGGCCCCACTCACCACCCAGCAGCGTGGCCAGCAAGACAAGGGCCAGGGCAGGCTGGGAGGGTCGGTGGCTCTGGGTCATGGTTGGGTGGGGGCTCCCTTGCCTCCCCAACCCCTCTTATAGCCCGAGACCTGGAGGCCGTTGGGGTTGCCCCACACGTGGACTGGGTGTCCTTACTTCCTCCTTTCAACCTGGGGCTGCAGGGAGTTGGGGTCAAACCACACTCCAGGGGGACAGGGAGCATCGGGCTCAGGGTTCCAACACCCCTGCGAGTGTGAGAAACTATCTCCTGCCCCACCCCATGCCCGGGTCCCATGGACAAGGGCCAGCAGGGCACAGCTCAGAGGGGCACACACACCGCTCTCCGTGCCTCCCCCACAGGCCCCTCTGGCCTGAGAGGACGGTGGCCAGCATGTCCAGGTGCTGGTGTGAGCCCCCCTCCTGGGGACAGAAAAGCACAGGAGACAGTGGTGGGGCCACAGAGCCATGCGCCCTCCTGGGACGCAGAAGGGTTCACTGTTCCCTCTGAGGCAGAGTTCTCACCGGGTGGTTGTTGCCCCAGGGGACACTGTCTGGGGACATTGTGAAGGTCAGCAGGACTGATGGGGATGCCCCTGGTATGGAGTATGTGGGGCCAGGGACCATTCTCAACCCCCCATAATGCCCAGACAGCTCCCCAGAGGTGATCTGCTCCCCCTCCCCCGTGTAAATAGTGGAGAAACCCTAGTTAATTATTTGGGAACATTTTTTAAAAAATATATATTTTACTGATTTTTTACAGAGAGGAAGGGAGAGTGTTAGAAACATTGATGAGAGAGAAACATCCATCAGCTGCCTCCTGCACGCCCCCTATTGGGGATGTGCCCGCAACCAAGGTACATGCCCTTGACCGGAATCGAACCCGGGACCCTTCAGTCCGCAGGCCGACGCTCTGTCCACTGAGCCAAACCGGTCAGGGCTATTTGGGAACATTTTGATTTCACTCCCTGCTCACAGTAGACACCAGAATAAATCATGATGTTCAGACGATGTAAACCAGGGTGACCCTCGCATCTGTGAGTCACCTCCCCCACCTCCCACTCAGGCTGCATATTTATGTGTGGGCAGCCTCCCAGGACCTCAGTGGTCAGATGGTTACTAAACAGCAGAGTCTCCTGGGGTCCCGGAATCCCCTGACCCCGGGTTAAAGGAACAAGGCGCTGACATTGCTACAATGTGGGTGAACCCTGAAAACACGTGCTCGTGAGAGAAGCCAGACACAGAAGGACAGATTCTGTGTGATTCCGTTTATGTGAAATGTCCAGAACAGGCTGATTCAGAGACAGGAAGTGGGTTGGTGGTTGTCAGGGGCTGGGGGAGGGAGATGGGAAGTGGCTGCATATGGGGAGGGGGGAGTTCTTTTCGGGGTGAAGGAATGTTCTGGGACTAGAGCGAGGTGGTGGTTACACAATATTGTGAATGCATCAACTATCACTGAATTGTTAAATGGGCGAGTCCTATGGTTTATAAAGTATATTTCAATAAAACTTCAACAACAACAAAATGAAACATACACACAAACCTGCTAGATAACTCACCCACCAAGGGGGGGCCTCCCTGGGGGGTCTCGGGGTGTCCTTCTCCAAGCGCTCTGTTCCGGGTGCACACACACCAAGGCTTGGGGGACAGGCAGGTGGGTGCGGGGGGGGGGGGCTGCCTGGAGGCCTAAGGCATTGGGTGTGGGAAAATTCCCCAGGGCAGAAACTGGGGGCTGTGGAGAGCCTGGGGGGGGGGGGTGCAATGGGGATGAACACTCTCGCAGGGGGGTCCCCTTGCATAGTGGAGAGGAAATGGGGGCTTGGAAGTCTTTTGCTCCGGCCCTTTTCCT